GGATTCTTCAAGGCTGTGTCGATAGAATGTAAGCCTCTCAAGGTGGGAAGATTCATAGGGCTTAACGATCTAAAGTTGGAAGGGACCTCAGAATGGCCATGTAGTATACCAGCCCACCACTCCTTATTTAACAGGTGAAAAAACTGAGGCCCAGGGAAGGAAGGAAACAAGTATTATTGAGCACCTCCTATGTGCCAGACACTGTGCTAAATGCTTTTTATAAATATTATCTCATTTGATCCTCACAACAACCTTGGGAAGTAGGTGTTGTTATTATCTCCATTTTACAGGCAAGGAAACTGAGGCAGACAGTGGTTACATAACTCACCTAGGGTCATACAGCTAATAAGTGTCTGAGGCCGAATTTAAACTCCAGTCTTCTTAACTCCAGGCCCGTCGCTGTGCACTGTGGTGTCACCTAGCTGCCTGTGGTCACACAGGTATTAAGCCACTGAGTCAGGACTTGAATCCAATCCCACTAGCCCCAAACTGAGAATTAATTTTTTTTTCAGAGTACAATATTGCTTCTTCAAAGACTGGAAGGTAGGAAAGCAATGTAGTATAATGGAAAGAGTGCTGGGCTTCAGTGTCAGAGGACGTGGGTCCAAATCATCCCTCAGACTGCGTGACCTTGGACAAGTCAATTGGCCTCAGTTTCCTACTCTGTAAAATGAGGGGGCTGGACTAGCTGGCCTATCACATCCCCCTCTAGATCCATGATCCCATGATTTTCACAGAAGTCCATTCCTGAAAGCCAGCATTATTTCTTCCCTTTTTGGCCTCCCTCAATGCCCCACTGGCTTCATCAGCTCTTCTCTTCTGTGCCCTGGGGCTGGTCTACAATGGCCTGGAAGGCTTGGACTCCTGCTCGGCCCCTTAACCCTGCAGTAGTGACTGGGCTTTGTTGGCAACTCTAGGCTGCTTTGCCCCTCCCTCATTTTTAGCCTCAAAATGCTCTCAACCAGCTGAGGGTTCCAGTTAGTTGGATTCCAGGTAAATTGACATTTAACTACACGCAATTTCTACTACATTTTAACTACACGCAGCATCTCAGGGAAAGCTAATTCAGGGGAAAAGCTGCAGTGTACCCCAGCTCTGGTTTCATATCCCAAACCAATATGCCTCTACTGCTGCACTCTCAAAAGCCTTCATATATATATATATATATATTTGCTGCCTTGATTTTCCATGCTCTGCTGCTAATTTCAGCCAGGGAGAAACAAACCACAGCTCCGTGACCTTTTTCTCTGATCAACTGATCAACACACTGATCAACTATGACGGCCGGAAGGGATGGGCAAAACCAAACTGTTTTCTGTCCTTTCCTCAAACATGTGTTAGCACTTACTGATAGAGTTGGGCTATGACTTGAAAAACAGAGAAATGCATTTGAAGTCGGGCTGTGAGAGTGGAAGGAGCCTCCCCTTGGCACAGAGGTGGTGGACCATAGGTGTGGAACGAGCCATACGCTGGCAGGCAGGGCCAAATCAACAGATTTATTTAGCTCACCTCTACTTTTGTCTTAAGGGGGAAGAATCTGGTTTTTTGTTTTGTTCCATTTTGGGGGTTCCCAGAAGGGAAGAGTGGCAATAATGTTTTGTTTTGTTTTTCAAAGAACATGAAAAAAACTTTTTTTTTTTTTCAAGGAAGTGGAGGTGAGATACTGTGCAACGCATGAGTCTTACAAGGCCTCTGGGAGGCAGAAAGGGAAGGAATGCCTAAGCCAGCCACCCAACAGACAAGAAGATTCCCTTCTAGATGTCTTCTCCCTAGGTTAGATAACCTCTCAACTTCAGAGGCTGGACGCCAGCAGTGGTGTAAGGATTCTGTGCCAAGGGAGGGGGAGGGAAGAGTATGGATATTTATGAGCATCAATGAACAAGGCTCCACAGACACAAGGATCCATGGTCCCTTGGAATCCCAGGCTCTACCTGTATAGCTTTTGGGGGGATGAAGCCCAATCTGGCATGCTATGTTCTCAGTTCAGGGCTCCACATTTTGGGAAGGAAGGACTCTGACAAGTTGTAACATGTCTAGGATGGGGAAGAGACTGGAGCCATTTAACCCTTCATGCCTCAGGCAAGAAGGCTCTAAGATTATAAATTGCAGACAGGTCACAATCTGCTGATGATTGAAAGGGTTCCCGCCTCAAGCAAATCACAGACCCTAGATGGTTTAATAAACATGCAAGGTAGATGGGATACAAAGATGAAAAAGAACATGATTTCTGCTCACAAAATGGTTTAAAATCTAATGATGGGGGTTGGAGAGGACAAATACCTAAGCAGAGAGGGGAATATGAGCACAAAAGTGACAAGAGAAGACTAGGCAAGATACCATGAGAAATCTGAGGAGGGAGAGGTCACTCCCACTTAGGGGCAGGGGATATCAGAGCTTGATGGAAGAAGCAGACCTGGGCCTTGAAGGGAGAAATTTTAAGGGTGAGATTATGTGTGCGTGCATGCGCATATAGGTCTGGTAGAGGGGATGGGTGGGAGGAGTTCCTTCCAGGCACTGAGGATGGGGTGAATGAATGCAGTGACAATATCAGGCAGGACAAGAATAGATGACAGCAAGTCATCGACTTTGACTAAAACATTGCAGGTGTGATAGAGAAAAGCATGTGATAAGTCTGGATGGATAGCATAGAATTAGATTGTAGAAGACCTCAAATGCCAGTGCTTTCAGATGTATGCTTTAACGCAGTAAGCAATGGGGAATCATTTGTTTTTTAAAAAAATCAAAATGTAAAAGTGAAATTCATTAAAGTTTATATATGTAGGTACAAGAGAGGTACGAGAGAACTACAAACCTTGAATTTCTCCTCCTAAACTTGAATCTCTATGACTGCCAGACCTATGTCTTAATTGATCTTTATTTCTTCCCCCGGCAGAGTGCCCTATACTTTGTAGGCATTAACTGGATGTTTGAATGAATTTTTAAATGGTCTTAGGAAAAATGGGCCAACTTCATTTTTTAAATATATATCTAGGTCATACTTGAAGTATATTAGTTACAAAGAATATCACCAGAAACTGATTAATCTAGATCACTGTATCCTTGACACATCCTGTTAACAGGATGTTTGGAGCTCTAAGACATTCAGGACTTCAGGAAAAACTATCTAGCCTCCCCAAAGACTAAAACTATGTTACAATTCAAAGGATGGTAAGCCTAGAAGGAATCCATTTTACAGATGAGCCAACTGAGACCAATAAAGGGAAGGGACTGGTCCTAAGTCACAAAGGTAGTGAATGGCAGAGTTGGGATTTGAGCCCCAAGTCTTTGGCCTCCAAGACCAATGCTCTTGCAAATAAATAACAGTGGCCTCCCTCTTGGTTAGTGGTCCATAGCAAATTGGGGTAGGAGGATAAGATGGTGACATGGGTTCTCCAAGATAGGGCTTCTTTTGGAGGAGTGCATCAGGCAAAGATTATCTTAATCACAAACTGACAGCAGAGCCTTAGCATCATGGGGTAATAGATTTTGATCTGAAAGTGATCCAAGGCCATGAAACACTCCTTTTACAGTTGAAGAGACCGAGCTCCTAGAGACAGGAAGTAACTTGCCCAAGGTCACAAATCAGAGTATAGATATTTAAAAAATTTTGATAACTGTATTTCATTATATTTGTAATCCTATATGTTTTATTCTGTGCATTTGTAAACATTATTCCTAGCAAGGTTCCATATGCCTCAATAGACTGCCAAAAGGGTCTATGACATGGAAAAAAAATTTAAGAATCCCTGATGGAGTCAGGTATAGCTGCCCCATTTTACATATAAGAAACATGAGGCCTAGAGAAATTAGACTTGCCTAAGTTCATATAGCCAGTAAGTATCTGAGGTGAGATTTGAGTCAGGTTTTCCAGATTCCCAGACCACTACTTTATCTATAGATTAGAGATTGGCTGGTCCAACTTCCTCATTTTATAGAGGAAGACTCTTAAGGCCCGGAGATGAAATGATTTGTTTAAGGTCACACAGGTTATAAGAAGCAGAGTCTATGGCAGAATCTGGATTTGAACTCAGGTCCTCTGATTCTAAAGCCAGTGCTTTTTCAACTACAATATGCTATCCCCAGTAGGTATGTAGTGTCACTGCATAATTATACACCCCAAGTGGCCTTCTGATTTAGGGTTAGGAGCTACAAGAAAAGGCATACCTAGTCCTCTCCAATCTTAGCAGTCAAACTTTGGGAGAAGACACACACACACACACACACACACACACACACACACTCTGCTCTCAACAAACTTCTAGTATATAACAGGGAAGATATGACATGTCTCGTCAAATGGAGATATACAGGTGAATGAGCTCCAATTTCTCATTTTGGACTTTTAAAACTCAAATCCCTAGGCAGAGATGAGGAATATAATAACAAGGAAGTCAGAGTCAGGGATGAAATGTCATTCAAGATAGGCACTGGCCTTGTGATCTTGTTGATAAGAGAAACTCTAAGATGAGCAAACTCCCTCTTCTAGCACCTTTTTTTCCAACTAAAAGTCTTGGCGTTTCCTAGAACACTGAGAGATTAAGAGGCATTGACTTCCTCAGGGTCACACAGCCAGTGTGTGTCAGAGGTGAGATTTAATCATGAGTCTTCTGACATGGTACCTTTCATCTTCATTTTACAGGTGAGGAAACTGAGGCCTAGAGAGGGTAAGTAACTTGTCCAAGGTCACACCATTAGTAAAGGGCTGGAATGGGTAGCATTCCAGTGTCCTTAGACAAAATCCATGTCGTTAGACTACTACTGCTCATTCTGCCAATTATATTAAGCTTGGACTTCCCATTTCTTAGTAAAATCCTAAATGATGGGACATTAAACTTCCTAATGATATAAGAATACAGTGGCACAACTGGCAAATATTTCTATTCCCTTATGCAAACAATGGTCCAAGCCCAATCATTCTCAGTACTTGTGCCCTCTCTTTCCCTCAAGAAACCAGACATTCGACAAAAAACAGGTTTAGAAACTGACTTTCCAATACGCACCATCAAATTTTTTATATCGGGAAGCAAACATATTCTGCAGAGCATTGCAGTGCTCCCCGACGGCACTTCGGAAATCCTCTTTACTCTGCTGTCGGTACTTCTCCTCCATTTCTTGAGAGCAGCATGTATAACCTTGAGCACAGATTTTCAGATGATCGCCTGCAAGATGGGGCAGAGCAGAGAAGCAGGTTATTGACACAGTCACTGATTGGGAAAAACATGGCATGTGCACTCACTCTGGGATGTAGCCAAGTTCTGGGGACTCATCACTGTGAGGAGCCTTGGAGCTTACATGAGAGGAGTGAGGGAGAGATGGAAAGATACCAAACTAAAATCAGAGCTGGTCATTTCAGGTTTCAGGATCGTGGAGAGAGGGCAGGTAAGAATATATTACAGGAAACAGACCTTTCACCTTTGGCTCCCAGAGGACATGGCATGACACTCCACTTGGCCCTTTGCTAGCCCGAGCCTTGATTCCCCATGAATCATCTGCCATGTGCATTAGAAGGATCTATGACTTCCATAGCATGGGGAACTCCTGATGTGGAGCTCTGAATTACTAGATAAGACCTGGGGACCTAGTGGAAAATCAATCACTTTGGAGAGAGCAATTTCAAGCTGAGTAATGAGTTTGGAAGCCAGTTTGCAGGGGGTTGAGGAGTAAGAGGAGAGACAAGTGGAGGCAATGAGAGCAGACACCTTCTTCAAAAAGTCTGGCTGAGAAAGGGAGGAGAGATGGAGGATGAAAGCTTCTAGACAGTAACAAGGTTGGGAGAAGTCTGACTGAAGAAATAAAAAGAACATTGAAATGGGGGAAGAAGTGGAAGAATAAGTAATTATATGTGTCAGGGTGACCTTTTGAAGAGGAGAGGAGATTCTTGAATGAAAAGGTTCTATCTGGTACAAATGAAGCATCTGCCCACCAGCTAACTGTATGGCACATAAACCAGCTGAAAGCAAAATTTCCGGGGCAACAGAAATAGGGAGGATTGGCCTCACCAAAAGAAGCACTGCTAACCTAGGGATTTCTGTGAACAGTCTTTGGTGGGGATTATGACCATAATATCATACAGACTGGACTTCTCGTTAGCAGTTACCACACTGAGTAGTGGTAAGAGGATTCGATTTTGAGTCAGAGGAAAGGGTTCAAATCCCAACAGGGTCATCTTAGCCTCATTACTTCACTTTTCTGAAATAGTTTTCTCATCTGTAAAATGATACAGTTGAACTAGTTGCCCTTCTAACTCTAAATCTAGATACCTCTAAGTTTTATAAAGTTCTTTTCCTCATAGCCACCCTGTCAGAGAGGTAATAGAAGGATTATCATCCCATTTTTCAGATGAGGAAATGGAAGCCCAAAGGACAAGTTTTTGCCCATGGTCAAATGCTGGATTTTCTATTACCAACAACCACCCTACACACACACACACACACACACACACACACACACACACACACACACA